TATGATTGGTTTCATATTAAGGAGACATATGCTCTAATTTAAATAAATCTTAATTTTGTATTTATTGATTAGAATATCATTTTTCTAATAGTGTATTTTTCTAATAATGTATTTAATAAAACTTAATAGTGTATTTTTCTAATTTTTAATGCAATCAAGAAATAAAATTTTACGGGCGTACTTAGAGTTATTTTTTGATTAGAGAAATAGTTAACAGATATACCTTAACTATCATACGGTAAGGAAAAGCTTATTATTATTGCGTGTTTGGTAATTATAACCTATTTATTAACAAATAAATAAGATTATTATTGCATTAATGAACAGTTGTATAAACCACTTTTAAAGTTTTCTCTTTGGGTGGAGTTTGCTTATTATTGAATTAATTTAAATTTTCTTTCGTTTGATTGCTTTTAGTTAAATTGATTTTTTATTTTAATTTTTCAAAACCCCCATTTAATTATTGTTTAGAAAGAAATAAATCATTCAGTGTATGAGGAGACAACCCTACTGATCGCAATACTCGAATTTCAGTTTTTAGAGTAGGAATTTTAATTTTGATGATTTAACACCTATCAATCTGTTTAGTATAAAGGCAAAAGGGAAATGAATACTAAAATCTCTACCTCAACTGAGGTATTTGAAGCAGTTTTAAAAAGATTCAAGCATACAAAATATAAGAGGTAGGTTCATTATAAATTTCAAACATTATCATCCGCCCATCAATTAAGAAAATTTTGGCCAATAAAATTTAAACTTGACTAGGATATCCAAACAGAAAAGGGGTAGTCGCTTAACCACTTGACTAGGATAGGCATGGCCATGGTTCCATTTGGAACCGGGAACCGGACCGGAACCGAACCGTTTGGAACCGGACCAGAACCGGAACCAGAACCGTGGAACCAGAATCGTAGTAGAACCTTGGATAAAGGTTCCGGTTCTGGTTCTCTAAAAAATAGAACCAGAACCAGAACCGCCGGTTCCAGAACCGTTAAAAAAATTAAAAATAATTAATATAAAAAATAATAAAAGTAGAGACATCATGATGATCATCATGATCCACCACAACCTTTTGACCAAGCTCTCAACGGATCCAAGAGGAAAAATTTGCAAAGAAGGGCTCGGAAGAAAAAGCTTGTATTCGAAGAGAAAAATGGAGCTTCTTCAATTTTTGCTCTCGGGGGCTCCTGACTTGCATAGAGGTCCTCGGGCTCTCAACGGAAGAAAGAAACAACCATACGGAACCGGAACCGGAATCGGAACCGGAATCATAAGGAATCGAAATCAGAACTATGCGGTTCTGGTTCTACCTCTTTGAAGAACCAGAACCGCCGGTTCTGGAACCAGAACCAGAACCATCTTATATGGTGCGGTTCTGGTTCTACCTCTTTGAAGAACCAGAACCGGCGGTTCTGGAACCGTGGCCATGCCTAGACTAGGATATCCAATTTTACGCTCTAAATGTTCCAATTCTTCAGCATATCGATCGCGATAAATGTAACACTCTGATTACTTTGATGAGCCCATTAGCCGCGCTTGGAATCTTTTGAGGAGAATGATGATAAAATAATAATAAAAAAAAGATATATTATCTGCTGCATTTTGTCCTAATTAGAATAGGAGATTAGGCAACAGTGGTATTTGCTCTTTAATATATCTAGTCTATCGGGGAATGCAAGACTTTCCAATTGAGTTCAATTACTGAGGTGGTAGTCCAATTACTGAGGTGGCGCCGCTTCATTGGCTAATTGGTGGTAGTCCAATTGATTCCAAGTTGAAGAGGTGTCGCCTTGTGATTGGTCAATTGGTGATAGTCCTCCTAATTGCATATGAAAACAGTGATGTGGCGAGTTTTGATTGGATGAGAGGTGGTAATTGGATTGTGCTAAAATTTGGCCTCCTTTTTTTTGTTGTTGTCCACCAAATCACCTCTAATTACCAATTCTCTGCAATTAATTGTTAATAACTAATTAATAATATCATGTTTTTGGTCATCCAACAAATCACCTTTAATTAACAATTTTTTAATTATTAAAAAAATTGACTTCTTTTTTGTGGTTGCCCAGAAAATCATATGTAATTATCCATTTTTTTCTTGTTGTCCAACAAATCAGATCTAATTATCAATTGTTCACAATTAATTGTTATTAACTAATTAATAATGCCATTTTTTTGTCGTCTAACAAATCATGTTTAATTAACAATTTTTTACAATTATTAAAAAATTGGCTTCTTTTTTGTGGTTGCACAAAAAATACATTTAATTATCTATTTTTTTCAAATGTTATCAAAAAGTGTCCTCTTTTATTTTGGGTTGTCTAACAAATTACGTTTAATTATCAAATTTTTTGCAATTAATTGTTAATTAATTAATTAACAATTTCAGTTTCTACTGCCTAATAAATCACATTTAATTACTAGTTTTTTGCAATTATTAACACTTTTTTTCGGGTTGCCAAATGAACCATATCTGATTACCAACTTTTGCAATCAATTGTTAATTTTTTTGGGTATTTTTTGGCATGCGGTTGCTCAGCAACTAGCTTTAATTACCTTTCTTTGCAATTAATTAATATCTTTTGCAATTAAGTGCTTATAGTAAAAGTGGCTTGTGGATTTCCCACTTTGTTTGGACGTCCTCCCACACCACCTCCCTTGCATGTGAGGTGATGGTGGTCTTCTCACTCCCTTTTTTTTTTTTTTTTTTTTTTTTTCCAGAGCCTCTGTTTCTTTTCTTTTGACTTGGCAGGAAAAAATGAAAGGAAAAAAATGTCTTAGGAAAAAAATTATTTTTACTCATAAATTTTTTAAATGACTCATGCACCCTTGCTAAAATTCAAATGCTTCTGCTATGTTTGTTCTATTTCTTGCTCCAACATAACTACTTGAGGACTATTTTGGAAACTAACAAAAGAGTTGCTGTGCTTATGTCATCTGGTGTCCTTCTGCTTCCATTAGAAATCGACGGCTCACCTGTCTACTCGAGTGCCTCGAGGAACCACTTCCTTTCTTTTCTCTTTTCCGATCAAAATTGCTCCTCTTCCATTCTCCACCGATAATTCTCTCAAAACTCTTCTCGTTAGAATCAATAAGAGGTGAATAAAGCAAAACGATGAAGAGAAAACTCAATTATGCATTTCCATGGATGCTATCATGATATTTTTTTCCATATGTTTATTTTTAAGTTTATTGTTATGGGATTCTTTCCCTTGTTCAGCTCCTTATTTTCTTGTCATTATCAGCAATGATTCATCCTTTGTAAATCTCTTTTCCCGTAAAATTAATAATCAAACATTCATTCAAAAACAAATTTTTCAAATATAATATTACAGTAATACACTATAATTTAAAAAACATTCCATCCGAACATTATTGAAATTTATATTATTAATGTACTTTTGGATCAATGTTAACTTTAGTTCTATGTCTTATTTCCTTTGAAAAAGATTGAAATTTACATTCATAGAGCCAATTTTAATGTAACTTTTTTATGTTATTTATTTTATTGTTTTTATCTTTCATTACATGTTACTGGGAACCACCGGGCAAACTCTACAATTAACCACCGCGCATCGTGCGGTGATCCTCTCCTAGTTTGCCATTATATTGCGATTGATTCTGTAAAAATCTCATCATATTAATTGGTCAGTTCAGAGAACCAGTCTAAAAGCACCATTTCGTTGTCAAAGCTACCTATAAAACAAATGTACGATGTCTTGTCTGTAAAATTGAGGATGGAGGAGGGATGGTGATGGCATGAACTAATAAAACTCCGCCAAGTGTCCTATCTGAGCCCCCAGATGCCCGGCGCCACGCAACGCAGGTGGACCTTAAAACGTGAACTATTGATCACGACATCAATATGTTCCCCTGAGCTGACTGCACGCCTTCAGTTTATCTTTCAAATAAATTAAGCTACCCGACTGACCATGACATATGCTTTGTAGCATCGTTTTTCTGGTCAAAGAAGGCCCTAATCCGACTAGCAACGAAACTAGCGTCCTTTTAATCGGCTGCCCATCTAGCACAAAAGTAAAGCCCCCCTAGAAAGCAGAAATGCAGGTGAGGAGAGAAGCCCAATATATACAAAAGTTAATTTAATAAACAAGCAAGTGAGGGCAACAAAACAACACAGCCTTGTAAATTCGAACCAATTGATTCCCAGTTTCTTACGTTACGTTTGGATTGCATTTTTCTAGATTTTTTTGTAAAAAAATTATTATAACAATTTGATATATATATATATGAGATAAAAAAATTATTGAAAAATATATTCACGAAAAACGTAGCAATTTAATTGCTTTCCAAACAAGGCCTCAGCACGTGGCGAATGCAAAGTTTCTAGTAATACGGATGGATTAATTCATAAATGGGCTGTAATTCCACTTGAGATCTTCGGTGACATGTTTTCTATGCCAACCCAATGCCACCTATAATATTGTGCCAAATGTCTTGTTATTATTTACACTTAGGGTACGTTTGGTTCTACAGAATTAGAATTGAATTAGAATTGAAATTCTATAGAATTGGAATTCTATGAATTGAAATTCCAAGTCATTTCAATTCTTTCGTTTGGGAAATGCATAGAATTGATACGGAATTTATTTGAAATTCCAAATTCTTTGTTTGTATGAGAGAAGAATTCATTAGGAATTAGAATTGTTTCCAACTAATATTTCCTTACATAAAAAATTTCTTTTTTAAAAATTTCTTTTTTTTACTATATAATAATTTTTTAACATTTAGCTAATTGTTACTAAAGCTTTAAGGAAAAAACCAATTAGTACCTTTAATAATTTATTTTTTCTTGCATTTAACTAATTGTTAATAAAGCTTTAAAAGAAAAAAAATTAGTTCCTTTTTTGCAAAAATAAAAAATTCTTTTTTTAAAAAAAATTAAATTAAATTAAATAAAAAATAATTGTATATTCTAACTTAAAAAGTAGTTAATATTTATCGAGTTAAAACCTTGATACGTTTTTAAAGTTAAGAACTTTAAATTTTAGAAAATCAAAAGCCTACTCTATGATATGAATTGGGAGGAAAGTCATAACTTGTACCTATTATAAATATTTGAGTTTTGTATCTTACAAGAAATTTCAATATAGGAATACAAGAAATAGAGGAATACGCAAACAAAGTGTTTTTAGCCAAAAAAAAAAGAAAAAAAAAGCACAATTATACATTGCTACTATTTTTCAATAAATGGCCATTCTAATATGAAATTAAGTTCGAATAAATTCCTATCAAATTTCAACTTCCATGATGGCCTTGTCTAATTTGATAGTCAATAAACATTGCTCGTGCTAAAGCATTCCTAAATTGTGTCCACTCGCTAGTTGGTTGTACTGTTCGAATTCGATTCTCGTTAACAGCATTTACACCACCATCATTATTTGGACCATCATCTTCCATTCCATTTTCCTCATCTTCATCTTCCATTTCATCTTCATCATCAACCTCATGTTGTACTCTTCGCACCTCAGCATCAACTTCATCCAAGTAAGGGGCAGTCTAGAGTTGAAGTAATCGTCTGTAATCAAAGAAGCCAAAGCATTATTCTTTTGGCTTAACAAGCAATAACAACAGATGAAATGGAACTTTAGTTTTGGATTATTAGAGGATCAAATTATTTGTAATACCAGAGAGAGTCTCTCCAGCCTCAACTCCCTTGTAACCCCATTTGCAAGCAATATTGATGCTTTCTGCTGCATACCTGTGTTTATGAGGAAAAACATCCGTCAACAATTAAAGCCTACGTCTAAATTTTGGCACCAGAGAGTAGAAGCAGAGTGCCTTCTTCTCACTAGATCATTTTCTTGGCTTGCCTAAAAGAGATTCAGGGAGAAAGCTCACTTGGTTACACAGGTATGGAGATCACTGCAGTCCCTCCAGGAGTCAAGATCGTCAGACCAGATTCCCTGTTCCATGAAGCAATCTATAAATTTAGTTAATGGAAAAAGTGGCCCTAAAGACTATGAATGTAACAGGCAAGAAAAGCCATGCTCAATATGTTAACCAAGCTCCCAAATTATGTGTTACAAGTAGGATACAATCCAGTTTATTTAGATACTTACATCTGTAAAGTTACTTTCTATGTCTTGCTCAAGGAGGTCGACTTCCTTCCCGTAGTAATCTGCAGCAGCCGTAAGAATAATCTCTCTGTCCCAGACCTATATGCATAGATGTGAATAATACGTGACAGTTATCTCCCAAATTTGTGATTTCATGACAGGTTAGATCGATGTCAATACTCACATGGTGCAGATTGGATTTGTGCCTAAACCAGCGCAAATTTATGGTGTTTCCTCCTTCATCACTTGTAAAGCCTACATGCATTGGCTGAGAGAGTAAAATGAAACAGAAGCAACAAATTGCGTTAGATATTCACAACTATCAAATACAGTGGCAACATGAACACTAAACTAATTGAACAAGAGAGAGAGAAATTGTGCCAATGCCTCACTTGATCAGGCCATACACACAGGGCTGACAAGTCCCCGTTAACATAGTCGGGCAACAACATTTTGACCGCATGGGCTGCATCAGGTTCCAGGAGATCCTGTTCTCAGAGGAGATAAATGTTAGAGTCGAAATTATTTTCACTATGTTTATCTAATTATTTCTCGTATAATACGATTAACCAATGAAAATAAATGATCCTACACATAATTCCTACTCAGAACTTCTTAGTTCATCTGCTTTCCATCTAAAGGGCTTGGAGCTTCAAATTCTAACAGCTCATACAGATAAACACGTCAATTCAATCCCAGCTCATACCACTAGAAACATGAAGAAGATGGTATCAAATTGACGAGTTTCCCCAATACAAAATATACCTGCTTACCGGAAAAGTCAATAAAATTCTCAAATTGAATCATATTATCCAAAAACCCCAAATTAGAAGCTAAACAAAAGATAAAAGAAGGTCGCGAAAAGTCAACTGTATACTGCATACCCAAAACATCTGAAAACGAAGATGGAACCCATCATTCCTTTCACAAATTCAAGTAATGGGTCATTTACGACATAAAGAAGTAATCAAGTAGGAACCTTGTCGGATTCTTCCTCCGCTCCACTTCTATCCGGATTGCTGCTGTCTTCAGGTTAAGAATTCGGCGAAGAAGGACGATCTTGAACTAAAGTATCATCAGTGGAAATATTATTAGATGGAGCTGTGGAAGCAGCCACCGCAGCAGACGGAGCCTCCGGCAGCTGTATCGTCTTCCCAAACAGCGTAAATGAAAGTAGATGTTCAATGCTGGGAAAAGGCAGAGGAGGAAGATGAGTAAGAGGAGAGACAAGGCGTCAGAGATGGAAGTATAGGTGGTGGCAGAGGAGGAAGTATGGGAGGACTGAGGAGGCGGAGAAGGAAGATGCGGAGAAGAAAGAGCTACAAAGAAACGGTGGTTGGCCTGTGACGAGAGAGAGAGAGAGGGGGGGAGGACTTTCATTTTCAATTTTGTTTTTGTTAATTATATGGAGATCCGTTTTATTGATTTAATCCACTTAGGATCCGCGTACCAACCCGAATAGAAGATGAAATTATGGAATTGGAATTGTGATTCTTAGGTCTTACCAAAGAATTGAATTTGTGGAATTGATGGCCCATAGAATTCGAATTGAATTCTAATTCTCTGGCATTGCCGGTGTCCAAACTGAAGAATTGGAATTGGGACCCCAATTTCAATTCTAAACCCCAATTCTATGGGAAATCAAACGAACCCTTATGTTAAACCAAACCAAGTTGAATTATTAGAAAATTAAAGTGTAAATAATAACGGGACACTTGGCGCAATACTATAGGTGGCATTGGATTGGCATAAAAAAAATGTCACCGAGGATCCCAAGTATTGTAATTCGCATACAAGCTTTCAATGGTATTGCTTTCTCACATACTTCATTAAAATCATAAAATACCAGGTATATATCACAAAATTTTCTGGCTCCATTTTGCAAAAGCGAATGAACAAAAGGAGTAAAATGAAGACCTTATTTTTGCATCATTTTACGGCACCACAACTCTTGACTGTACACCACGGGATGTGACATAGCCAGGCAATTAATTACGGACCCATGGAGCCAGGAATATCTATCCACTCCAACTGAAGCTCAACTTCACCGCGCTCAACATTTCGCAGTCTAAGAAACATATGCTGCTTAACCTTTCCATTTTCCCAAACAATATTGCTGTCTTCAGCAAGGCAATTTTGCCTACTTGGTTTTACATTGGTGATAACAGTTCCACTGGGGATGTTCTCTAACCGCATCCTCACAGCCTCAATGAACGGTCCAATGTCAAACTCTGCATCTCCCATTTTGTCATCAAAACTGAATGTATCCTTGTCAAAAACTTGCTGCATCGCACACCATTAAGAGTGAGGCTAAGTATCTATGCTGATTGAATTAGCTTCAACATGGTAAGAAAATTAAGTAAATAATAATGCATCAGCATAAATTTGGACCTTGACCACCCAGATGACAGGAACCCAATTATCTAATTGGAGCTATGCAAACGGGGATAGAATCAATCAACGGTCAATATGCCTTAATCCTTCACAGAACATAATGTAGATTTCATTTTTCAGCCTTCGCAAACTTTTCGACGACTGCAAACACTAAAAAAACATCAGTTATTTTCAAACAGAAGACTTCGTTCCTACTTGAGCATCAGTGGTGCAACAACTCTCCTCATACAATTCATTTAGTGTCGAGAACCAACCTAATAATATGTTTCTCAATTCCCTAAAAGGCAAAAAACTTTACAGTTCATAACTGCACCTTACTCAAAAAGCACCACTATAACATACTTATAAAAAAGTATGAAACTTACTAGCTTGATTGGGATGCTTGGATCTGCAATTGATAGTGTAAGGTCTTCATTCCACTCAGGATTTACATTTTTCTTCACCACACGCGTCTTCAATTTCTGCTTCACATATACAGTTCAGAAAAAATCAGTAGAAAGTTCGACCTACTTGTAAGTTGAAATAATAATCTATTATATAGACTGAAAGTCATATCCAGAAATTTAGTCCTCATATACAGCTGGTCTGCTTCCTTTTGTCAAGAAATTAAACACCCTCAGTGCTCAAAGAGGACCACAAGTAGTAGTAACACCCCCACCCGCACTACCCAAATCCCCCCCCCCCTCAAAGCCAAAAAAAAACACACACACACACACACACACACACACAAATGGCAGTCAACCTCTTGAATTTACAATTAATTTGTCACCTCCGTTACACTACAGACGAGCCCATTACAAGATTTCGACTTTTTCCTTCTCTTTTAGATATGATTTCGGCGTTTTGGCAACTCTAATTCCAACAACAGAGACGAATCGTACAACTAGCTGGCCAGGTAACTAACACCAATATTTGAAGTTTGAACAACCGATCTTTCTGGGCCATTTTCCAATTGCTAAGAGTTAGGCAAGCATATACAAACCAGAAGCCAACACCCCCGGTGAACGTCTCAGTTACGAGTGAGTTTATTAAGGAGTTGAAATATTGCTAAAATTTCAAAAGCTGAACCTCAAGAAGTACCGGGATTTTTTCATTTTAAATCGAATACAATGCAAATCTCACACTTGAAGGAAGTAATCGGAGAAGAGTTCGAGATATCCTAGGAATGATATGACTGGAAAACACTAGAAACATTGGAAAGCACGTCAAGCAAGACAAAAAGTCAATGAAATATAAGCTAAAAAAGTTGTAACGGAGAGATTACTAGTTAATGCTACTGACCTGTTTGCCCATCCTGACGATAATATAAGGATCGCTGCTTCTAACGTCTCTTATGGCAAGGTTAACACCTCGGATGACATGAATTCTCAAAAGTCCCAGTAAGTTCTCCATCTTTTCCGTTGCATAAGCCAGGAAACTACTACTAAAATGAATCAATAGGGGAAAAAAAAAAGATGATCAGACTTGATTGATCGTGGAAGACAAGGGAAAATCGGGATCAGCTTGAAATTGAAGGGAGGGAGAGAGAGAGAGAGAGAGTACTGAGAAAAAGAGAGATGGGATAATTGATTCGTAGGGCTAATGTAAGTAATGTGTTAGCGAGAGGAACTTTAGTAGGCCGCAGGGACCAATACAAAATCAAGATCTTTTTATTTTTGTTAAGGTCTGAATATTCTTGTAACCGCATTTAATAGTGAACAATTAATTGCTCTGTTTCAATGAGGAATGAGCATCACGCGCGTCTCGCATTCATGACATCTTCGCACTATGGGCTGGACCTGGGGGAAGCCAATTCTAGAATGCACTGTAGCGTTGACTAGACACTGAAAAGTGGGGTGGTAGAAAATTGAGGATCCAAAGAAAATTTTGCGTCGACTTTTGTTGCATGATTAATGCTGGGACTGGGAGTAGTAATTGACATATTTCCACTGCCCCTCTTGACGTCCATTTGTATGGGTAATTCTTTGAAAACCTGGTAAATTTAGGGGAACTAAATAGAGAGTATTTTTATCCCTTTTGTATGCATATATGGTGATAAATATTACTCTATTAAAGATGAGTGCAAATTGCAATTTCGATAATAAAAGTAGTTTGAGTGAGTTTTGCTCCGATTATTATTATTATTATTATTATTATAAATCAGAATCATAATAGATCTCTCTAACAATGATTTTACAAATCATTCGCTAATACGGTTCTCGCGTCAACAATGTTATGACTCAAACACATGATTTTTGGTAAATAATTTATGGTGGGTTTCTGTATCGATTTTGGAGAGATGACAGAAGAGAAGAGGTAAGAAAAACCGGCCGGCGGCGATCGCTCGTAGGGGGCGGTCCTTTCAACCTTTGACCAGGCTTGAGAGCGGTTGGCTGACCCCTCATCCTTCCCACACTTGAGAGTCAGTCCGACGTTGCAGTCCTTATTAGTCAACAGGTTCTATGTTGCCCTCACCACATAATGCCTGGGGTAGATGCTTATTATTCCTTGCCTGGTGGTGGCATGTGGCTTTTCTTGTTCACAGTTATTCTTCCTCCTCTTCGGGTTGGAGTTGGAGGATGGGTTTTCCACCAAACAAATATCTGTCTAACCATAAAGCTGCCTTGCAACTCGTTGACTGTTAATCTAACGAGTTTAAGCTTAATGCTTTCCAATAATACGGTTTTTTTTTTTTTTAACTGAAAAGACAACCGAGTCAATTAGTGGGTTCCATCATAATAAGAGAGAGAGAGAGAGACTCTGTACTAATAATGTCGATAATAAATCCAATCATGTAACATAAATGAAAGAACAAATAATGCATCAATTAGGGATGAATCTGAGGCTTTTGGGTTCCCTCGGGGTTTAGATTTGTAAAAACTGACGTAAGTCCTTTGGGCTTTGAAAGAAAAAAAAAAAGGGATGAATCTGAGATTTTCATAATCTGAAATCGTCAGAACAAGTGGGAATTGATTAGGTGCTGACAAACAGAAGATGGTGCATCAAATTAATAATTCCGCCCAAGCACTTGCGAGCTCCGACAGAAGATTGGATCTCCTCAAGTCGAGGCATAGTCAATTAATTAATACCAGTAAAGAAGAAGTATCCTTGTGTAGTCAAGGGATAAATAAATAAAATGTGCGTCATTTTAGCAATTTAGTGGGAGAGAAGCTAAAACACCAAACTGGCGACTTTTGAATAATCGTCGTATTCGGAAAAACACACTACCAAAAAAACACACAGTTAATAACAGGCCTATGACGTTCTTTAACCTCCTCAGGGTCAGACAACTCTCTGGAATCGAAGAGGTGGCTGAGTTACACCAATGAAATCCTCCGATCCTAGATTGAATAATGGGGTGTAAAAAAAAAAAACACCTCATCCATACAATATATCAAATACTTCAAAAAAATTTTCATATATACTGACTGCTATAGTAAAATTTTTAAAAAATATCTTAAAAAAATAACTAATCCAAATGGAGTCCGAGGTTTTAAAACTTTAAACTGCGTCAATCTATAAGGAGCAGGTGTGTGTACTTCAATCGTAAGTTGATTTTAAAATCCTGAGGGACCTAATTAGGTTTGCACGGCGGCTGCTGCTGAGTGGTGACGGCTCTGATTCTGATATCGCGCGCACTCTAAAGAAATTCACTTAAAAACGACAAACTAATTAGAGGCCTCTTTCAGTTCGGTTGATATTTGATGGAACGAGCCTTGAATGGGTTTGGTATACATAAAAAAAAAGTTGACCATTCAGAAATTGGTCTCCGATGACGTCATCCATTGACAAAAGTTCCAGACCAGCGGATGATCTTGTCGACTTTCTGCTTCAAACCCTCTTTTAAATGCAACAAGAATGACGGAGGAGTGATTATTTGATTTTGAAATTGAGCACTGAGTGAAGAAGAATTAAGAAGCAAGCAATTCAAGACGTTCATCCGCCTACTTTGCAGGAAAATCTCCGTCCCCGCCTTCATCTTGAATTCTTTGAATTTGTTTTAGCCAATCAAGAATAATGATACTAAGGGGTCCTCATTTTGATTTTTAGAAAAGGAGAACTACAGAACCCGTTATTGACATGTAGACTGATTGGATAATGACGCCAGTCCGGGCAGACGTTTACTGAAATAGCACTAGATGATGGCGAGCTTAAGGCAAGGCGATGTTAGCTTGGTTTGTTTCACATTTGCTTTAGCATTAGTTATAGTGAATTTGCGTTGCTCGTTCGGATTGTATTTTTCTAAATTTTTTTTTTTATAGAAAAATCACT